TTACACTTTCTTCTGCTATGCCATCTTTTAGAGAGAAATATGACCCATTATCGAGATCCGGCTGCTACAATATTGTTTCTTCATGTGGACGATGTTATGTTAGTGATACATGCCGACATACAAATGCTTGCAAAGGAAGCTGGATCCAAGGGTCAGAAATGGCCGAACATATGGTAGAAATTGGACATGAAATAGAATGATCTCAAACTAGTAGGTTTGCTGATTATGGTACGTCTGTGGTTAAAAGAAAGATAAGAGAAGCTATTCAAATTAATAGCTTAGGAAATACGTTGAATGTTAGGAACTGTGGTCTAAGGTTGAGTAGGAACTACTTATGCTTGATTGATAGATTGAAAGAGAGAGGGTATTGAGCCGCCGTCAAAAAGAAGGCGACTCAATTTGCCTGTTCGGTGATGGTTCTAATTTCCCTCATATTCGTTTAAATAGTTAAAGTAAGCTCATCAACCAAACCAGACATGTCATATTACGCAATCCCAGTCTTGCTTTTCCTTGGGGGGTTAAACGTTAATGACCCTAGACTAAAAGGTTATCTTGTAACTTGATTTTCATACTTACAAGCTCATATCTAATTATCTCAACCATACTTGTTTACGGACTTACGCAGTTTCAATCAACGCTTTCTCTTCGGTCATTAAGCCATGAAGATCAAAACCTGAGCTTAAGCCTATGACAAATCGGATTTAGGAATCGTATTGCATATTGAACGCTAACACACACGCATACACACGAGGAAAAGTAACAGGACCAGTATGAAAGATAATTAACGAAACCACTCTATCGATCTATCTAGGTTTTTTATATTCTTTTGGCTCAATTAAGTCTATATAAGAAGTAAGATAAAGCCGGATAGTGTTCTTGGCCTAGTGTTAACGTGCGAGTCTTACAAAAATGACACCCAGCTCTGATGATGTACATCATATAATAGACGAAAGCTCAGCACGTTTTCACCCGAAACAAGGGAGGAAGTCTCGGGGACTGCGTCAAACAGAATATCCTATAAAAGCCAAGCACCTGAAGTATAACGAGATTTATCCATCCTCATCTGGTGAAATCGACCAACGAATCTCTTCTTCATTCACTTTTATACGAAATTATAGTCCCCTGACAATAGAAAAAAGATAGACAGATCCTTTGATGAGACTTAGGCAAGATCCACCCTAGACGACATAACTTTTTAGAGTTAAGGCTAAGTGAATTTCAATTGCATAGTAATGCTTTTTCATTTGATTATGGAAAATGACTCGATCTCGAAAATAACTGAAGTAAGCTTTGACGAGGCGATTGGGAGGGATTCATAACTTGGCCTCACTGGAAGGAAAGTTGACTTGGTGTTGTAACTATTTGGGCGAATTAGTTTAATAACTCTACCATCTTCGGCATCGTTAAGGTCAATATAGGAATCTTTTTCATTAGCCTCGTCAAACTTACAGAAAGATACGCCATTATCTATATCCTAAAGGATTCACCGAAACCCAGTTTCTTTTAATATAATTGTCATGTATGTCTCCTTTTTTTAATTTCCGCGCCTTTTCAAGCTGGCTTGAAGATGTAGGACTGAATAAGCAGCCATCATCAACCTCGGACAAACCTCACAATTACAGCCCAAATGCCGGCCGCTGGGTGCACTGCGATCCTTGTGAGGCCAAAATGGATGCTCCATTGCTTTACGAGGCTGGTTGGGGAAAGCAGCTTAGCTATGTGTTTGCTTTCACTTTACCACCATTAAATTATGTTGGAGAACTCATGGACTACACAATTACAGGGGTTAAATCTGAGGCTGTGGCTGTACAAGATGTTACGTGGAGATATACACGCGAGCCGAAAAAGGCAAGCAAACTAGCTAACTTTAGCGGCAGCACGGTTACTTTTTTATCGTAATGCTTTCCCTAGAGATTACCCTCCAGCCAATTACTTTGGACGATATAGATGATAATGCTTAAAGGACGGCACGATTAAAGCACAGTAGTGTGCCAATGCCAGGGACTTTGTGTTATCATATTCTAAGAAAGTTGGATTTCGATGATTCTCTTGTTTCATAATTGTTGTGCTTATTTCCATTTCTATTGAAGGTGTTTGGTGAAGAGATTCAAAGGTCGATTTCACCAGAAGACGTCTTCTGGTAGCATATTCTAGCCATTAAACTTGCCATCGTTACCAATAGACTCGGGCATTTTATGAAACTAATGTTGGAGTACTTTTCATTTCGTTTGAAAAGGTAAGCGTAGGGGATTCTTAAGTTGGTCTCACCAGAAGCTGTAGCGCCTATGCGGTAGTGACCTGTGGGCCAATACAAAAGAGGTTATCTGAACACAAAACAGCCTGCTAAGGTCTGTGGATCCAAAAATCGGAATTGGCCGAACACATGGCTCGCAAAGGACACCGCATAGATTGATCTAATGCCACGCTTCATCCGCAGCCACT